TAGAGACATTTAGGGCATCCTCTACTTTACAGAGACATTTAAGCCATCCTCTACTGTATAGAAACATTTAGACCACCCTCCACTGTATAGAGACATTTAGACCACCCTCTACTGTATAGAGACATTTAGGCCATCCTCTACTGTATGAAGACATTTAGACCATCCTCTACTGTATAGAGACATTTAGACCATCCTCTACTGTATAGAGACATTTAGACCATCCTCTACTGTATAGACATTTAGGCCATCCTCTACTGTATGGAGACATTTAGACCATCCAATACTGTATAGAGACATTTAGACCATCCTCTACTGTATAGAGACATTTAGGCCATCCTCTACTGTATAGAGACATTTAGGAAACCCTCTACTGTATGGAGACACTTAGGCCACCCTCTACTGTATAGAGACATTTAGACAATCCTCTACTGTATAGAGACATTTAGACCATCCTCTACTGTATAAGAGACATTTAGACCACCCTCTACTGCATAGAGACATTTAGGCCACCTTCTACTGTATAGAGACATTTAGACCATCCTCTACAGTATAGAGACATTTAGACCACCTTCTACTGTATATAGACATTTAGACCATCCTCTACTGCATAGAGACATTTAGGCCACCTTCTACTGTATAGAGACATTTATACCATCCTCTACTGCATAGAGACATTTAGGCCACCTTCTACTGTATAGAGACATTTAGGCCAACCTCTACTGTATAGACCCATTTAGACCATCCTCTACAGTATAGAGACATTTAGTCCATCCTCTACTGTATAGAGACATTTAGACCATTCTCCACTGTATAGAGACATTTAGACCACCCTCTACTGTATAGAGACATTTAGGTCAACCTCTACTGTATAGACCCATTTAGACCATCCTCTACTGTATAGAGACATTCAGACCATCCTCTGCTGTATAGAGACATTTAGACCATTCTCCACTGTATAGAGACATTTAGGCCATCCTCTACAATATAGAGACATTTAGGCCACCCTCTACTGTATAAAGACATTTAGGCCACCCTCTACTGTATAGAGACATTTAGGCCACCCTCTACTGTATAGAGACATTTAGACCATCCTCTACTGTATAGAGACATTTAGGCCATCCTCTACTGCATAGAGACATTTAGGCCACCTTCTACTGTATAGAGACATTTAGACCATCCTCTACTGTATAGAGACATTTAGGCCACCTTCTACTGTATAGAGACATTTAGACCATCCTCTACTGTATAGAGACATTTAGGCCATCCTCTACTGCATAGAGACATTTAGGCCACCTTCTACTGTATAGAGACATTTAGACCATCCTCTACTGTATAGAGACATTTAGACCATCC